GAACAGTGTAATTTAAAACGTATGGATGCTTCAGTCTTGTTTCTTCATTGAATTGCTTACTGGGCCTCGATGTCACAGATCTTAAGCTATTTCTAAGCAATGGTCAAGATTTTGTTGCAATGTCATTATACTGTAATAGAATGGAAATCTCTCACTTGTGTAACAGAAACCTGAAAACACGGGAAAAGGCCTGGTCCAGTAGCAACCTGTGGGTGGAGATATGAAAGTACTGGTCAGGAAGCAGCCTGCATTCCTTTGCTCAATCACAAAAATATGTCAGTGCCGAGCTCCCTCAAGATGCCAGCATAAAAAATGAAAGGAAATACAAGCCTTTGAACATGATATTGAATAGGGACTGCATGCTAATTACAATAAAATTATAGAATAGTGCATAAAACTCTCCAAAGATGCTGCTAATGACAGAGAACCTTTGTCTACTGTGTTTAGAAGCAGGGAAGACAAAAACATGTGCGAACATAAAGAAATGCATCTTTTATTTACCTCTGTTGGTTTCGGGATGTTTAAAATGGGCCAATTTGTCACCTAAAACCAGTTGTTCATCTTGGTTTCCAACACTAGTTGCTAAAGTTCAGTTTTACATGGATTTTCTGTCTTGCTTATGCATATTGTAAAATTTATATGATCTTGATAGGTCCATTTTAGGACTGAATATTATTGCTTGATAAAATAATATACATTTCTGTATTTTCATATTCATTTGTATGTTTTATTGTCATTTTTGAATACATGGGTAGTAACTTTTTAAATTATCATAGTATAATTCCATAAGCAATAATTTTACTAGGTGTATAAATTGGTTACTTGGAAAAATAATGCTAGACCATTGTAAAAGGGGCTTCATAAATAAAATGTTATCTTTTTTGTTGTTGTTTTACTAACAGTAGATGTGAGTTTAGTTACCTTGGGTACTTCGTATGTACTTATTACCATGGCTGTTCTTATTTATTGCAGCTTTTAATCTTCCTGGAAGTTGTAGACTCTGAGCTGCAACAGGGCAAAAAGTATTGAAGTACTTGACTATTCTGGAAAAGGATACAGAATTCATATACTGCATGTTAAATTTCCTTGTAGTGATTACAAGAAGGGAAGCTAGGAAGAGAAAAAGAGGTAGGGAGGGAACTCAAGATTGAAAGAAAGGTCCCTTTCAGTGATGCTGACTAAACATACAATCCTGGCAAAACCTGTATTTCTATCCCGTTATTACGTTTCAGCTTTTTCTGTGATATATCAGCATGAGTCACTGCATCTCTTTTATAGTAAAAGTATTCTGAGGTTATATTCTTAAACTGAATATCACCGTTGCCAGTGATTTGAATAAGATACTTAGCATTTGGATGAAAAAAAAATAGTTGATAGGTTTTATTGTTGCTAAAATCTTTAATACAAAAATTGTTACTAAAAATTATGAAATATACCACTGAATATTCCCCTGAGTTGTAGTTAACTGTGCTGCTGCAGAGGAATAGGTGTTGCAGTATGAGAAATAGTTTAGTAAATTGGAAGGAAAAAGCGCCATCACGTTAAATTTCTGATGCACTTTAAAGGCAAAATGGTGCTAAAAGTCAAGTGGGAAAGAGACACAAAAGTAGGAAATGGGTTTCAAGGCTTATAAAGGGGCTATTAGAAAGTCAAGAGATTTTTGCTGCAGAGCTGCTTTCACTAAACAATTTACTTCCAGGAATAAATAAATGATATATCACCATAAATACACAACAGACATTGCCTTGGGACCCTGATGGAAGTGTTTCGTTTTCTTTTTGATAATGCCTTTAAGCTATTCGCTGTGAACGTTAAATACTTAACCTCTCTTTTCAGTAGTGGGAGAATGAAAAGAGGGTCAAGAGGTATTAAGTTCTAAAAGAAATTACAATCGTTACTAATTGTCATAGCAACAAAGGAGATGTGGGGAATAATGGTACCTAGCAAGGAAGCAAAGGAGTGGAAGACATATCTCAGCTGTTCTGTGGCATTGGGCAGACCAGTCTTGAAGTATTTTTGTTTTATTATGAACGTACATGTTTTCAGAAAAATATTAGTGTTAGGAGAGATCTGGGAAGCAAATTAATGCACTTCTTCTTGGATGTGCTTTTATGAATTCCTGAGTCTGTATCTGTGGAGCAACTGTTTGCAAGTCAATATTCTTCCTTGGTGGTGGATAAGGAGAAGAAAGGCTGCTGATCTGTCAGGATAGACACATCTCATTTCAGCTAGAGAAATTCCCTCTGTCAAGTGTTCATTTGTACATATAAAGGAGTACAAACTTTTTGATCTTAGTTCATCTCACCTGGTGGAGTTGCTTCAGCTTAGAAGATGAGGCAAAGGTGTAGCATATATATACTCAATTAGCGTGAAACCATGCTCATTACTATTGTTACGGAGAAGATCAAAGAATGTTTAATGTTGCTAACAATACGGATTAATTTGGTTGACTATAATATATAAAATAATGCTAAGGAACAAGCCTGTATATTTCATTTTTTTTGCTGTTTATCAGTACTGACATGAAAAGCTTTTAGATGTTTAAAATTGCAGGGTTTGTTTTTCTGGACTTTTTCAGTGGAATGCTTTTATGTATAAAACAACATAGAAATGAATTAAGTTGTACATTCTCGGAGTATAAATTATTTTGACTGACTAGTAGTGTCTAAAGTAAGTGAACAATAAGTTCTTCCATTGTTTAGATGCTGTTTCTTTACATTTATCTGTTCTTAACTTGAGATAATTGCAGAATTGCAAGATTTGAGAGGGACCTCCAGAGATGGAGTCCAAGCCCCCTCCTAAAGCATGTTCCCTCCCATAGGTCACAGGTAGGTGTCTAGATGAGTCTTGAATATCTCCACAAGGAGACTCCATAGTCTTTCTGGGAAAACGGTTCCAGTGCTCCGTCACCCTTACTGTAAAGAAGTTCTTCTGCTTGTTTGTATGGATAACCATTGATTCTACTTCTGAAAAAATTAGTTGGACTAGAGGTACTTCAGTCATGTCTCTGAGAACAGAAAACAAAATCTAGTAGTGCCTTGCTGCTTCTGTTTTGTAAAGTATTTGGGTACTATCACATTAACCCTAAATGATATTTTCAGTCTTCAGTACTACACAAGCCTCAACAGTGATTTAGAAGATACTTAAGTTTTAGGCTATCTGTAACATTGAGCAGTGTGTGTTGTTCTGCTTCGGTTTAATACAGAGAAACTTTTTTTTTTTTTAACTTTAATTCAGCTATTTTTACTTTGGCTTTGTTATAAATTAACATAAATCCAGACTAGAAAGGTGTGTGTCAGTGTAGGTATTGGGTACCATAACCTGACACAATGCATCTGTATCCTGTATTCTATGTAATTACTATGCTTGTGTACTGGACTGTAATAAGTAATTTGGTTATTGAAAGTCTGCATTTTGTTGGCTTGAAGATAATAGTTTCTATGAAGAAGGCTTGCCAGCAGCTCTCTGATAAAAAGAATAAGATGTTCTGTGTTAGATGCAACTGTAACGGTCAGGTGATGCATGGAGCACTGCTTGTTCATTGTTGGAAGATTTCTACACTTGACAGTTGTTACTTTCTGTGCTTGGTATCTGTAACTATAAGAAGAGCGTTTACAATGGGTTCTGCATTTCAGAAGAGGTATTTTCATGCTAGTGGAAAGCAAGGGAAATGATGCAAGAGGTCCTTGTGTTGCCTATATGTTGTTTTTGAAAGAGCGGAAAGCAGAATTTAAAGAAATTATTACTCAAAAGAGTTGAATAAATGTAATAAGCTTTGAGTGTGAATAGGAACTGACATTTGTTGAGGGGGGAAAATATTTGAAATAATTAGAACATGAAGAAGTATGGTTGGAACTGAAGTCATAAAGGGCTTTTGCTAGTTTGTGGTGTAATGCTGTTACATTTCTTTCCTTTCCCTACAGCAGATATCTGTAGGGATCTCTAGCCCCCAAAAGCAGCTTGGTGCATTGTAACAACCACCTGATCTTTTACGTGCTGAAAATCAGTGTTTGTTTTAGATTAGAACGGGGAACATAAGGGATGTGTGTGGTGCCAATGTATTGTGGACAAGTCCAATGTGTATTTTCCTCTGTGAATGGCTGAAAAATCATGCTGGTTCTGGTATCACTTCTAGATTTTCAAATAAAATGCTAGCTGCAGAATGCAGGTCTTATCTTGGTTTAGACGCTTGTGACTGTGGAGAAAATCATGAATGTCATGTCAGAAGAAATGCCGTAGATGTACCTGACGTTATATGATTGTACTAATTTCCCTTACTTCAAAACCTTTTCCTTTTAATCATATCATACTAATTATAGATTCTTGACCATAGAACGAAAACATTAATGGGAGGAAAATGTAAGATGATAACTTGTTTTCATCCCTTTCCTAAACATCAGAAAATGATAGCCTCTTCTCCTTTTCGATAGTCAGGAGAGGGACTAGAGAAAATTATTGCCTCAGGTGATTGCAAACACAGTAAATCACAAAAAGAGCCCGGGGACCCAAGGAGCCACACCACATAGTCAGGCTTTCTTCTCTGTCACTGTAAGACTTTATTGTTCACACAGATATTTCAAAATTACTGAATTGATTAATCATACCTGGATTTTCAGGTAATCCTATACTTGTGTCTCTTTATGCCTTCGATAAACAGAACTTTAGATCTCTGTTCAGATAATACTGGTAAGAGCAGATACTGATTAGAATTCCATAATTTAATGAGAAACAGCTACTGATAATTTTGTGTTCTGCTTTCTTCTGTGTTTTGTTCTGTTAGTTTTTCCCTCTTTAGATATTCAAGATCCTGAAAAACAGAGAATAGTGCCAAATACGTTTCTGTTTGGCCAAGTGTTTTATACTGTCTTCTCTCTAGTCAAATATAAATAGAAAAATTTAATATAGCGAATTCTTAAACTTATTTTCCAGGTTTGATTGTGTGGAAGAGATTTAGACTCAACTGTTTAAATGCTTTTGCTTATTTGTTTTGTTTTTATTAGGATGTTTTGAATAACTTGGGTTCCTGTGAGTTAGATGAAGATGACCTAATGCTTGATTTGGAGTTCCTAGAAGAACAACATCACCATCGTACTGGTAAGACAGAGAAATATTGGATATCTTCAAAGAGATGTTATTATTCTAGGAATATGGAATATGGAAATGTGTTCAGTACAATTACTTGGAAATAAAAAAGAATAATTTCCTTAGAAAGGTAGGAGCGGGTATGCATTTATTAGTTTGATTTGTAAATACCTGTGCCACTTGACGGAAAGGTACTCTTCAGCTTTGCTTTTTGCCTTCATGTGGTCAATTATTAAATGGAATTCTTCTGTACCTGTAAAAATTTCTTGTAACTGCACAGCACCAAAGGCAGACTCATGTAGTTTTCCAGATGTTTACAGTGACTTCTGCCACCAGACAGTTGCAACACAAACAAACAAAAAGACTATTGCTGATGCAATTTTAACTTGATTTCGTGCCTGCTGGAATAACATGCTTCAGACAAGCAGGCCTTGACTTGAGGTGTGAGTGTAACATGATTGCTTTCGTGCACTGCATTGATTAATAGCGATAGCGGTGGTGAACTCTCCATGTGCTCAGAAGAATTGTAGAACAGGTTTACCCAAACTCTTGGTAAATCAGGGCACTTGCAGTAGGGAATCTTGCCTTCCTTTTTCCATAAGCAGGTAAGTCCAGGTAACACCAAAAGACTAAATGAGCATAAAACTTGTGAGATTTATGCTTGATCGCAGTGTAGAGCTCTGAGTTTGTACTCTGTTGTGATGCTTCCTACAACAGTGACGTGACAATGACTCTATCACAGTGACTCTTGCTTTCACTTGATATTTTCTAAACCCTTTTTTCTCCATCCACAAATGTATATATCCATACTGTACTTTTATGCAGACTCAGGTGGAAGAGAAGTCTCTGACAGTTATTCCTGCAGGTGTGCATTGTCTTCAGTTCTGCTCCCTCCTTTGCTGCAAATTTATGCAGGAAATTATTATAGACATATCATTACTGATTGAATTATGCTCGTTTCCATTTTTCTCTGTGTGATAATTCTATGATGTTTGTATTTAGCCATTGTGTTGTGCTGTTGCAAACCTGTTTGCATATCTATTTAAAGGGAAAGACAACTGTCTCATTGTATTTGGTAAAAAGAAGAGTAGTATAGAGGGCTGTAAAAGCAGTATTTGTGATCCTGAATAATTTGTTTCCTAAATAAGTGAGAGCTAAAAAGTTTGAGGATAAAACTAACTCAAACAAAGGTCATTTTAACCAGGAGTGAGTAACGCTACTATGGGGTTATAGAAAGCGAACACATGGGTGAAGAAACATGGATTGAAAACAGAAAAAAAAAAAAAAACAAAACAAAAAAAAAAAAACAACAAAAAAAAACAACAATCTTTTTATGAGAAATCATAATGCTTAAGCGTGATTATTTCCTGGGCCCACTGTGGACAAATTAACTGGAGGAACCATTTTCCATAAATAATATTCTCTATCACATGCTTTGCCTTGTTTGTATTTTGTTACTTCGCATACATTCACTGCTTCAAAAGTAATGCCTCCTATTTATTTCCATGGAGTCTACAGCAGATAGAAAGAACAACATAAATATTTGATAGAGCAAATTCTCATTTACAAAATGCTATTTTTGAACATAGTCATTACTGTTAGCTATGTATTTTTTTTTTTTTTTTTTACCAGTGATAAACAAGAACTCACACTCCATGCTCATAAAAATCTACATGACCATCTGGAGCATAGCATGTTATTCACTGTCACTGTCACCCCTGCTGAAGCACACCGTCCACTGTGCTTGCATCCACTGTTTCTTTTCCATAAACATTCAGCAAGCATTGATAAATATTAATGGTTGCCATTTTTTCTACATGGATTACTTAAATTCCATACCTTAGCTACCTCTGCACTTCCATGTCAGACACCATTATATCAGTCTGCCCCTCTTCTGCAGTTTGTTACATGGCAACAAAATGTAAGGGAATGTTGTTTGAAAGATTCATTCTTACATTCTTTGCTGTACTACTAACTGACCTCAGATGCTGTAGCCAATATAATAGCATAGGTGGCATTGCATTCAGGGCAGCCCTCGTATTTATAAAGCTCTGAATTAATGGTGACAGAATAGTTACGTCCATTGCGTTATTATAATAGATTTGTAGCAGCTTCTGGAAAAGCTAAGATCATAATGCTTGACATTCTTGATGAAGAAGTAATTCTAGTGGAGATGTGATATGATACGTAGTCTTTCTACTCTTGGCTCGTTATCCAGAGCTATTTTAATTCTTTGAGTGTATACGACATCTGAAAACAGGAGTCGATGATTTACATGGTATTTGATATTAGTTGATTTGTTGGACTTGTAAAAGCTTCCTTAAGGCAATGGGCTTGATTATTAGTCTATGGGTTGCTTCAGCAAAAATTATTGAAGACAATCCCGGACATACATACAAACCTGTGAACCTCTTTTTCTCTGCTGGCAGATAATGCCCAAGATATATAGGTTTCAGCCCTGCATTATATAAGCCTAACGTATTTAAACCGTTTTTTTTAGCAATACATGTTTATGTTGATAACAAGTTCATTAAGTTCCTCCCCTATGTAAAAGGGTGTGTATGTTTGACATTCCCATGAGTGTTGCGCTGTAGTTGTGGTCAGGTGGAAGTTACTGCATATACTTTTTTTCTCTTATCAAAATAGGAGCTTTGATTAGTATAAAAATGTGTCATGAACATTAAAAAAAAAATGCTGTTTTTTGCATGGTAATATTAACTTCATTGTCTTTCTGAAACCTAACTTAACAATGCTACTGTGAATGTAATGCAATAAAAAATCCTATTATGCTCTACATAATGATTCTGATCATAGCATTTATTAGGTTAGGGCCATAGGTCTTAGTTTTATTACGATTTACTTGTGCCCCATTGCTACACTTTGGCTCCTTATGAGAAAATCTGCGGGGAATTACTTTAATGGGAAATGTTCCAAGAGAAGTTCAGCTTGGTAATTTAACAAATATGTTGAAATGTGATGAGATGTAATTGGAAAAAGAGTTCAGTTCCTTCTCTTACTGAGAGATAGCTTATGAATCAGGTAAGTTTCTATTCTTCAAGAGCCTAAAATAATCTGTAAGATGGCAAACTGTATGGGTAGAAGCATCACATCTTGAATAAAATATCAAAAATGTTCCTTGGTTAGGAGGCTGTATGCAGCTAGCTGTAACATTGAAACATTGAACAATTCTCAAGTGTAATGCTACACTTGGTAAATGTGATGTTTTGTTTAATGGCAAATTGACTCTTAACTGTCATTAGAAGGTCCAAGTTTTTAAAGACGTGTTAGTTAAACAGTGATTCACAATTGCTTCTGGTTTTTTTTTATCTGCTGTTATTGAAAGGAAGAGTAGTTGTTAGGGTGAGATATGTCTTTGATTTTTCTGCTGAAGTTGACAGTGAGTTGATAGTTTAATGAAACAGCTATGATTTATTGATCTTAATTTTGGTGACTGTTTTTGAGTAGAAAATGAAATGCTGTTAGAAGAATTTCTGGGAGAAATTTGTACTAAGGAATGCATTTTAAAAGAGGAGATACTAATTGGCAGGATAGGGAACATTGCTCTGTAAAGCAAAGCTATGTATGAATTAAAAAGTAGAAAAAGAGAGATTTTTTTGTGCTTCCCCCCATTTTTTTTTCCTTTTAGAAATAATAGAAAATATTCTTTTCCCCAGATAAATTTTTGTGTTCTTGTTTGTCCTCTGGTTGCCCTTCCAGACTATCTTCATGAAATACAATTCCTGCAGGAAGGCACTATGAACTGTGATTAGTACTAGAAATTGAAATAAATAAATAAAAGATTCCTTAACTTTTTAATCTAACATCCTTGGAGATGTTCAAGGTCAGGTTGGATGGGGCCCTAGACAACCTGATTTAGTGGCCGGCAACTCTGCCCACAGCAGGAGTTTGGAACTGGATGACCTTTAAGGTCTCTTGCAGCCCCAGCCATTCTGTCTGAGGATTTGCAAACCTGGTACAAATGCTTCTACCTTGAATGTGAAGTTCTGTGTTTTGCAGGACTTACCATGGCCTTGCAGCTCTGCAATCCCTCATTTGTGACCTTCTCTCCTTTAGTGTGTATTAATTTACTGCTTTCACTTCTGTTTTTAAGCTTACATTGCTGCGAAAGAGATTATAAAATGGAGACAATTATAAAATGGCTCCATTTTATTATCCCACCTAACAATTGCTTTGAAATTTAATAAAATAACATTTATGTATACTTGGTGAATTGAGAGCACCACTCCTTACAAATGCAGAATATTAATCAGCTTGATTCACTGAGGTTTTCTCATACTGTTCTTGAGTTGGAATGCTTAAAAGTAAACATAGCATGACATACGTGATGAGCCTTGAGGGGGCTTTTTTATTACACTGAGTAAACTAGGCTTTTAAAATATGCTGCAATGTGGATTTCCTGTTGTAAAATAATTAAGTTAGTGGTTTCTATAGCGGGAAACTGTGACCTGCTTATAGAAAATGACAGCAGTAATTTAACCTTACTCATTTTTGTTTTCCCTGTTGAAACATGATTTATTTGATTCCAAGGTATTGATTAATCACATATATAATGAAGACCTTTATCTTCAGTGGTATAAGCAGTGGAGAATCCATTAATGTGGTAGGTACACATATAAGTGGATGAGGTGTGCTTATGTTGTGCATAGCTTATTGAAAAAACAAATATTTTGTTGTCTTGCTCTGTTGTTTTAATAGCTACTAGTATATAGCAATAAATAGCTACCTTTTACAATAACGTAAAAATGCATAGCCAATTAGGGTCACGTGTGATTATTTTCACCATCTGCCATACATGTCATCAAAGTGGTCCTGCTTCATTTTTTTTTTTCCTCCCACAAAGACATCTGTGCATACCTGGGATGTACAGTGAGCAGCCCAGCTGATGTTAGTAAGAGCTGGTGGTACTGGATGTACATGCATGCTCACCTCTGCTTTGGGCTTTGAAGCACACAGTGTCTGTTGCAGAGTGCAGTATTGATTAGCTGTGCATC